TATGACGACTGGGCTGCAGGATCTTGAAGTATAGTTTCTTACTTACCTCATGGTATTGTATCGGTTCCAGTGCCACATGAATCTGCTCATCATCAACTCCTAGTAATTGGAGATTGTCTTATCCCAAGACTTGCTGATGCAACATTTGAAGCTGCTTCATCCTCCTCGCTCGTAGGCTTCTTTTCTTGCGATGCGGTCGGAGTGTCATTTATTAATATAACGCCCAGGAACCGTGCCTTGAAAATAGTAGCTGCGTTCACCACCAGCTTTTCGAGCACTGCATCCAGCCACCCAAGTACCCAAGTATTTTGATGCACCCTCTCATCGTCTTACTCTCGGTCTCTCACCAACACCCCCATCGTCCTTATTCAACGCACAATGGATCTATCGAGATTCCCGCCAGAGATCGCAGGGCAGATATTTCAGTATATCGTTCTGTCCCGCGAACTCTCACGGGCGATGCGAGTCCGGTTTGTCAGCCGTACGTTTCTTACCCCGCAGTGTGACTGATGAGCGTTATGAGATCTTGCTCACTCACAACACTGCAGGCCAGTTTAGAAACTATATCGACGACGCTATCTCAGACCTCCGCCTTTTGGGCTGGTATGTTGGTCCGCCTTATTGTATTGAAAACCTCCCAAAGCCTCTACAGCTCCATGACCAACAAAAAGCTTGGCTCCCCTATGTCTGTTCCTATCTAGCGCGTCAAGCAGCAAAGGAACGCTTCACTACATCATTACTTGGTCGACTTTATCGCGTCGCAGAGGCTATCTGTGAAGAAGACGGCAACGCAGAGAGCGAGGCCATTTCAGCTTGTCTCAAATCCCTTATTTCTCTCCTCGCAGACCAACGACGTTGCCGCGAATTGTTCCAGGAACCTACCAACCAGCCAGTGAAGGACCCAGACGCGGGTTTCGAGAGGGATGTAGCCGTAGCAGCTGTTTATCTAGGCCGCAAAACTCACGTTGATCGTTTATTGGCGGAGGCTCCTCCTTGGTGGCTCGAACCCATGGATGGGGGGTTTAACATTACTAGCACGGTCTTTGGCTCTGCCTTCCAAGTAGCCACCCGCCAGGGGAACCTCGAAATTATCAAGAGTTTTCTCTCGGGCCCTCTGTCAGGCTTCTGCCAACGCGGTCTCCTCGATGGCGCTAGCACCTACGGCCACCGAGCCGTTTCCGACTTTGCGCTCGACGCGCGTCCCATCAGCCTCCCGGAGGGCGACGTAGAACGCAGGCTCAACACAGACTATCCGACGGTCATTCACGCGCTCCGCGAGACGCCGTGGCCTGATCAGTACGAGCGACTTGCGGAAATCCTAGGACCCGACAGCGACATATTCCGGCCGTACCACATCAGCCAAGACTCCTGGCTCCACCGCAGCGCCGCCGCGGGCAAGGTGGAAATGGTGCGCCACTTCCTAGCCAAGGGCGCCTTTCCGAATCCGCTGGATACCAGCGTGCGCCGGGGTCGGGTGTGCAGGCCGCTGGTGGAGGCGGTTCGGCGCAGCGACACGATCGCAAGGATACTGCTCGACGCCGGCGCGGACCCAAATTTAAGCCCGCCGCCGAGGACGGCGCTTATGCAGGCGGCATGGACGGGCAACGTATCCACAGTGAAACTGTTGCTGGATTACGGCGCGGAGGTCAACGTCGGGAGTCCGCCGCCGATCGTCCTAGCCATTTTCAAAGAGGACCTGGCCATGTTCCGACTCCTGAGAGAGCGCGGTGCCCGGCTCGACACGCCGGACACGGGCGGCTGGGCTATGGCGCTGGCTAGGTTGCACGGGCTCGAGTCGATGGTGGACCTGCTGGTGCGCGAAGGCGTGGGCAGGGACGTAGTCATGCACCACGTCGGGTGGTACGATGAGACTTATTGGTGGTATAAGCGCTTGTGGCCGGTTTCGACACGTTATCGGCCGCGGCCTGACGGATTGAACTGGAGGGAGGTGCATTCAGTATTCGACCATAGTGGAGTGTATACATAACGGCTAATGCATTAGAAATATGTAGCAGCATTTGGGCCGTGGTATGCTCGCTCTATGGCTCACCTGGGCGTTAGCAAAGACGAAGAGCGCGCGCCGCTCATCGATTCCTCATCCGCCTTTTTTCTCACATTCCTTTTCTTTTTCCCTTCTCTCCCTTCTTCCCATATCTATTTCTTCCCAAAATGCCTCACATTCCATCACTCTCGCGTGGTCATCATAGTCTAAGCATTTCGATTCGTCGTATAACCTTCCTTGACACATATAGGTACGCTCGTCTCCCATATGCTGCCCTTCGTTGATGGGTTTTTTGAGCTGCGATGGCTCACCCGTATCAGTTACATTCTCGCCAGCGAGATGATGAATGTAGGATTTGTCCCCTTTTATATAGTGTAAAGGAGCTAGGTGGCTAAGGTCACCCAAAACGACTGCTTGACTTATGTCACCGGATACCATACCTTAAGTTGGATATATCGCGATTTCGTAGCTAGCTAGCTCTTAGGGCTTCAGACATCCACAAGCCGCATTGCTCTTGATAATCCCACATTTATTACTCACTTGTATATCACACTGATCAATGAGTTTCTATTGTTCTTAAGCTACTAGGCATCTTCCTCGAAGGCTTGGGTGCGGAGCTTCGCCCCGTTACATTCAGTCAACTCACTGCATGATATCGTATGATATTAGTTATTGGCAGGAAGTTTTGTTGTCTTCCTCCGTCCTTCACGTACACATGCTAACCACGCAATGCGAATAGGAATTACTTGATTTGGCATATTGATCCCGCGCGGTGCCGATTGAGCTGCGGTTCAGGGGCAATGGAAAGGTAGAGAAGCTGAAGTTATTGAAGAAGAAGTGGGATCCTCAAGGCGTGTTCACAGGGCAGCTGCTTGATTGAAGGTATTCGTATTCTCATAATTAAAGCATTGGGAGTTAATAGCCAGACGTTGAGACCTACGTTCGCCTTACAGACTTGCCGCGAGAACTTGCGCTGCTAGTTATATGGTCCACTACCCTGATCGCACAATATGGCGTAGACAAGGCAGCAATCAGATCTCGTCGTCCAATCGTATGATCATGCCTGCCGTTGGTAATTGCGAAATAAGCATTAGTGACACAGAGGATCAACATTCGCAACTTGCTGTTTCGGGTGGCAAGGCGCAATCTCACCCAATCCCCCGCGCAGCTGAAATAGCACTTCCCGGTAGCAATGTGACGTTATTTTTCCTCAGACGGGAGACTGGACCCTTTGAGTGAGCTTTGCTGAGACAGGAGCAATTTTGAGGGTGTAAAGGCGCCAAGCTGATCAGCGCTCCATGTGCGATACCCATTGGACTACCCCGGGATTCGGGACATATCCTATCTGCCTGGGATAAATGATGACATCCCGCCCCCGTGTACTTCCTTGCCCTTATTACTACCTCCTGTTGCCTTAATTGTCTAGTTTCGCTAAGGAGGTCATTCTGCGGACGAATACAGTTTCGCTCGTTTCCATCCAATTCCAAGGCCATTCGCAGATAAAGGCATCATTGATCGAGGGTGTCTTCCTATTTCTTATTTCTACTTGGAGGATGCATGGTCTTACAGGTGCTCGCTGCAACATGTTACGACCTCGACGGCACAAACACAGGCCCGTCAAACGCTCTATACAGGACATCTCAAACTTTTCTCTTGTTATCTTAGTACCCGTCTACATATATGGTTAGGAATACTACGCCATTTGCCTGTATGGAAAATTTTCACATAACCAGGCTGACTCTGGGCGCAGTGCAATTGGAACAGCAGGCTCGCATAGTGCATGCTGTAACGCAGAAAATGCAGATGCGTGTTTATCAACCGGACTCTGTCTGAACAGTCTCTCCCGACAGCAAAATCATATGCTATGGGCTACGGCATGTAAAGATCCGACATCCCAAGACCCTAGTTGTCCTCAGTTTTGCCACGGGCGTCAGTCTCTCCTATTTTATTATGGGTCCAAGCATACCCTTTTCATCCCCCCCTATTTGGACTAACGGAAAGAAAAGTCAAGATCGATAATACCCACCTGAAATCTTGCAACGACAGCAACCATTAGTGCTGCGAGAGTGACGCGAACATCGTGACCACGGAGGAATGCTGTAATCAAGCGTCCCAGCTGTCACAACCAATTGACACCGTCGTCGCACAGTTGCAGTCGGGACTAGGGGCTATACCGCTCGCTACAGCCGCGGCTACTTTTATATCATCTTTCCCGCCATCGAGTTCAGCCAGCAGTAGTTCCTCACGAGAAGTCTCGGAAACGATTCCAGCTGAGGTCATTGCGGGCTTGGTGGTTAAGAGCGTTATCCTCGCCGCGACCCTCGCGGGCACAGAAAACAAGGCAGGTTGAAGTAGCCGCGGCGGGGGCGAAGAGCGCGCACAGGAGCAAAAGCAACAGCAGATGCACCAGTACCATTGACACCCATCTCCTTCATCACAAGACGGCACCCTCTCCCAAGCGTACGCGTACGGAAGCCCAGTTGAGTCGGAGCCGCCGAAGAGAAGCGATATCCACTTTCCGCGTATGGGGTATCCAGAGTTGTCCGGAGAGCCCATTGGCATAGAACTGCCATCCGATCGAAGGACGTCGAGAAATCCAAGCAGTTCGAGGAGCACATCCGCCTGATAGCGATACTTACGGCATCTTAAGACGCCCGTGGCCTTGGCTTCGGTTGTACTCAAAGTGGTGGGTTTGGAAATTGTAATGGCGGCAACCACTTACCTATGTGTCATATGTGTAATACGGCGGAAGGCTTATCTAAAATCTAACAATTTCATCGACGAGAGCACTGCAACCTGTGTATGTCTTGAGTACTAGGTAGATAGTGCAGTACCTAGTACCAGGTGAAGTTTTCCATAGCAACGATTGGTACAAACAGCTGAGCACGTCGCGCCGACAATGTCCCGGGGTCTCCAGAGCAGCAGCTCCTCCCCAATGTCACATGCACCGAAGAAAGGGTTATAAGGAAAAGTTGACGTACCAATTTCAGCAATCAAAGCTGGGGTGGTCTAGTGGTATGATGCTGGGACAGCAGGCCTGGCGACATGCACTGGATCCCTGAACGCGGATGCCAGGCACCATGAAAGAACGTGGCTGCTAGACACAGTGAGGGGGCTTCAGTGGATGTCCACCACCTGCTCGACCGGAGGTCGTCGGTTCGAATCCGACCCTCGGCAATTCAATTCCTTTTTTCTCTTTTGATTTTTCTCTTTCTATCCCACCGCCACTCTCTGTTACTGTTCTGTCTTCATGCATTCTATTAGCATTAGATTACCTAGGCATAAGCACTTATACTGATTTAATGAGAATAATTAGTAAAAGATATCTATTATCTTATTGCCTTTATTAGTTTGTATATCATGCTCCTTGATTCTCGGCTTTTTAAGGATTACCTCTGCGTTGGGACGCCTTAGTTACATGCAAGCATTCTATCTCCTTAAACAATATAGACACCAGTTAGAATACTCCAAGCACTCAAATCAGCATATTATATTTTCTTATGCTCATTCTAGGTATGTTGATGTGAACTAATGTAGACCACTTGGAGGATTACAATGACATTACATATTAATCATCCTCTAGCGCGCTGAACCCAAATATCTGGACAATATTCTTCGCATCATCAAAATCGTGCTTCTCGGATTGATGCATGCGGTCCACAGCCTGCGCGGCGAAGTTCCGGGCCTGCTCACTGAAGCGTTCGTCCTTAAGCACCTAGCCACAGACTCGAAGTGGATCTTCCAGGCGTCCCATTGGGTCAGGCCTTTTTAGCCATTCTTTGCTTTCAAAGCTTAGAGCTATTTCTCTATGAGTTTTCCCGAAGAAAGCCACGGACCTGGTTTTTGGAATATCTTGCAGTTCTCGAGAGAGGCCGACGAGGTGGGTTTGGCCAGCATGCAAGGTTTGTCCAGGCTACACGCACCGAATACCAGAACGTCGGCTACGGGCAGCGGATCCAGACGTCAAGCGAGGCCAACTAACGCGTTGCAGACGCTGAGCCCGCTGACGAGAAGCCCCTGCGATGTCGACTTTCAGCTGCCGTCCGGCACCGCCAAGCCCAAGCTCAGTCACTGCAATGGCAACAACTATTCCGCCAGCCTCTACGCCTCGGTCAGCTCCTTCGTGCGTACTTGCAAGCAGGAAGCAGGACGACTCCAACATCCACTACAGTGGCAGCGAGCATGACATCGTCAAGCACGGCGAGTACAACTCTGAGGCATCCGGCGGCTTAGCTAGGCGGAGGAATAGAGGAATGGGATAGTCGGGAAGAAAGGACAAAAGATGGTCACTCTTTCAACGTCCGCATATCATATTTGTTCTCCTAGACTCCATGTTATATGTAGGGGATAGAGGTTACCCCGCCCCCTTTTCCCTGAAAGTGGGGCATACTCAGATTGCTGAGGTAAGCTTCCATTACTCATCAGCATCTGCTTATCTAAGGTTATCTGCACATTAATTTACGTAATCGCCGCAAACAAGCTAGCGGTCGAGCAAAGCGCCGTGAAGACACACAGCGAGTAAAACCATCTGATACTGCAATCTGGTGGCAGCGACGTAGAGGTAAACGCCGTAGACGCAGAAGATAGGCGTGACCACGCGAATCTCATGGGAACAATGAACCACGACGCAAAGAGACCCGAAACTTCCATCGGCGCGATCTTGACGATGGACATTGGGCCGGTCACGATGGGAACCCGGATCCCTAACCCCGTGATGATCCGCAATGCGCCCAGGCCGGCCAGGTCAGGGGCGACTAGCTGCCCGACGGTCCAGACGAAGAGGTACAAGCGGTAGGACCATAGATGGCCGATGCTGTCGTCAACAGCGCCAATGGCATTTCCGATGTTTACGATGAAGACGAAATTCCTGATCCGCTTCGCGTCGGCCCCGGTACTGATGTCGGAGTGCTGTTTCTACCAGCCTGAATAGCCGGGTGTGTCTAGGCCTACGGAGTACTGTACTACCAAAAGTCTTTTCCACAGGAAATGGGCCGGTGCAGCTAGTCGCCAGGTGGCCACGCTGCCGAGACAGCTGGCGGGGATTTCTACGCTATAAATATAGGGCATTTAGTGGATGAGATACGCTGCAGGTATATCAGCAAGTAAAAGCGTTATGGAACTTTCTTGTAGAGAGCTTAGTGGCAGTATAGCGCTATAATTATAGGGGGCTAGTGGATTTAGGGTGCTGATACATGCTGGCAGCTGAGTAGGCAGCTTCCAGCTGGCGCGGCGCTCTGACAGCTGGCAGTCAGCTACAATGGCGCCCTATGGAAAAGACTTTGGCAGCTGACAGGGCTGACAGCTGTAAGGGATTTATAGGGCCCTTATCCACTAACCCCCCTATAATTCTAGCTTGCGATAGCCACTAAGCCCCTTATAAAGAAATTACCATAGCTGCCAGATATTTCTAACACGTATTATCCACTAGCTCCGCTATAATCACAGCGCATTAACCTCCGACAGGTGTCTGCCAGATGGATAGCCTTATTGCCAGTTGAAAGTGGCTATTTCCCTACTATTTCCCTATGGAAAAGACTTTTGAACGCGCGTTCCGTAAGCATTATTAAGTCCCATAGATGATAAGATTTCCGCCAGAAGAAAGACAATTGCTTGCTTCAGTGCGACTGGTGGGTGGGCGCGGCCTTGGTAGGAAGGCCATCATTGTACTGCTCATACGTCCTTCCGTGTCGCGTGTCGGCTCTATGTGGGATATTACATGGATTTCTACGTAATAGCGACCACAATTGCACGAACCCCCGTGAAACTGCTAGACTTCCTCGCCAGTTAGCCCGGAATCCCACCAACGAACGCCTTACTATCTTTGTTTTCCAATGCGATGTAAAAGACCCGGCTACCATCTCCAAAGCAATTTTCAGTCCTCACAGCCAAGAATCCCTCGTAGACGTGATCCTCAGTGGCAGCGGTGCATGCCCAACCTTTTAATAGAGTATCAGACACTCGCAGACCCCAAAATATGCGAAACTGCGATACGAACCCTCTATAAGGCTCTCCCAGATCTCTCAGCTGCGAATACCAACGGCTAACCCCTTGGCAAGCTACTAATTGTATCTACAAGCACGGCGGGAGGTGGGAACGCCGGGGTATACACCTGTCCATTCATTGTTATTACCTATTAGGGAGCCCCTCGACGGACAAGCAGCGAATAGAGGAAGTGGTACTTAAGGACAGCGGGGAGATTTACGAGGCTTTATCATTATACGTCCGCCGCTTTTAACCGATAGCGAGGCGAGAGGCGAGAGTACCTAATCTTCGGATCGGGTGGGAATGGGAAGTTGAGAGAAATGACCAGATGATCAAGGATCCAGGCCTAGAGATTGGATATCATGTTACCCGAAAGCACATAAAGGTTTGGATTATCGAAAAAGCGATCGTTCGAGGGCGATTGGAAGAAAAATGCGTACATGTAACGTATTGAGTGGACCGACATGCAGTTTTTTGATGGTTGTACTGAGAAGCGTACCAAAGGTATTAGTATAATACTTTTCTGTAAGATACCCTCTTATGACAGAGGGACTTGAAAACTCAGTCATCGAGTCGGCTACAGATACCAGGGATCAAGCCAAATGATATGCATACCCAGGGAGGGCGTGCACTAAAAATCTCTTTGTTGAAACAATGTATTGACCTTAGGACACAGACTATATTGAAAGTCATTTAAAACAGTTAAGTCTAAGAATGTCTATTGTTCACAACGCCCCATTTGTTCATGTATTCCCCGAATTAATTATAAGGGCCCTTCCCTTTACTATTCTGAATGATGTCGTCTAGTAAACCCAATATAAATCGCTCAGATAACCTGGAAATCGAAAGCGAGTGTCGTAGGACTCCACTCTTAACAATCCCATCCAGATCTCAATTCAATGAGTTCTCCGTCTCTACAATCCCTTACCGGGGAGCCTAAAACCTTCTCTTCGAATAACTTTCAACACGTTCTTGAGGCGTTCGACGAAGAGGGCCACCTTATCAACCCCGAGACACGTTTTCACATTGCGTGTCCTATCTGTGATGAAAAGGACCTAGCGATTCTAAACAGTAGAGTTTACAAAAGGTCGCGCGCCACTCACGAGTCGTACGCTGTCCTGCCACGCTGCCAACACGCCTTCGGTCACACATGTCTATTCAATGTACGTAACAACCAGAGTTTCCTTTTTGTCTTTTCTGGAATTATTTCTGCTCGCTTGGGAGTAAGCACTCTCGAAACATGCATTAGATGAGCCAATCCCCTTCCTGATGAAGCAGTTAATGACTCCTGCTATTATAGTGGATTATGGGCAGCATCAGTGCCCAGCCTCCATTCTGTCCATCTTGCCGTGCCCCAATCTTCCCGACATGGGGACAGGCTACTGGCCTAGAAATCTATGGTGATGGCGACGCCGAGGAACAGCATCTGGATATCGTCAAAATTAGGAACACTATCGAAGATGCTAGTAAAATATGCCAGGAAGCTCAGCACGACCCCAATGGCTCGAGTTCGGACTCGGATTTTGGTCCTGGAGATGTAGCTCTCATGAACGAATTCAATCCTGCACTCGCAGTTCTCGTAACGGAATTCCCCAACACGGCAGCATTTTTACGCGATCTTCTGGGGCATGAAACAGTGCGCTTTGGCATATCAGACGGATCAGAAGTATCAGATGGATCAGGAGTATTGAATGGACCCGAAGTATCAGATGAGTTAGAAAGCTCCATCGACCTAGCCTCCGGACTAGAAGTACTTCAAAATCTGATAGGCCAGTATCGAGAGTTAGAGGAAGGAGAGATAGTTCAAGGTGAGTCTTCATCATATTGTTTCAGTTCTTTTGCATTGTCCATCTCTTTCTAACCTATCCAGTTATCTGACTAATAATATCACGTATGCTTACTTGAACTCCAGGGTTGCCGAATATATGGTCTGAAATCTACCAATTATTACACAAATTAGATGAGCCGGATGAGATGGATGAAAGCTAATTTCCTAACGCGGTTAACTTCCTCTCGGGAAATCGCCTAGAATATTTATACATTAACTACTTGCTTTCATAGAATACTCTAGGTATTAAGAATTGAACGTGGAGATGAGATTAGCCCCGATTCGGCGACTCGGCGAATTTAAACTCCGATAAGTTCGAGACATGATTACCTAGGTACGTATGCCGCTTCTTCCATGGGCTATGTCA